CTGAGCGTACATCATTTGGTTTAACTCCCCAGTCATCGTCCTCATCTCATGTATTTGAGAAACCAAAATCTGATTTGATTCTCCCATTTGGGATCTCACCTCGCCGATCTGTGCTTGCTGGGCATCAATTTTCTGCATAATCGATTCCAATACCCAACCCAAAGGAAGATCGGATGGAATAGATGAATCAGCATCATCGCCTACGCCGATCTATTGATTCTCTTCGTCAGTGTTATCACCTGTAGTCACACCTTTCGAATTTCTTAGCTTTAGAGGCATCTTTACTATAATTTGCTCACTTTATGGGGTCCCACCGGGGGTGCCAAAAATGTTGACGCTAAAATCGGCCAACTAGAACCGATCTCAAATTGATGTAAACCGGGCATGCCAGAACCAAATATATGGTTCAAATGTAAATTGTCAACTATAGTCCCTTTGAGAAAGTTGACTTTCAGGTGATTGCGAGGAAAAAAGGGAACAATAAAAACTCCTCTTTGAGTTCAGAATTGCCTTAGTTAAAAGGACTTTATTAGTGAAAAATTATAGTAAAAGATTGAGAGAATAGAAAGGGGAGAAAATATAGATATAGAAAGTGATAGGGAGAAGAGATAGAGAGACAGAGATATAGGGAGAGAAATAGAACGAGACTGAAATAGAGAGGAAGAGAGATAAAGATAGCAAGGATGCTATTTGGGGAAAGTGCTTGAGAAAGCAACAATAATAATAAAATGATTCTAAGGGTGCTGGACCTCTAGTACAGCATGCCTCTTTGTTTATTTATAGAGAAAATAGTAAAACTAATTCCTAAATACCAGCATTCTAGTTGTATTATAATACAACTAAATCAAACTAATCCTAACTGAATACTAATTCTCAACTAAATTTAAATACAGGATAAATGTATAACTCTTATCTAATGCATTTAAAGTTCAAAAATCTGCTATCCGATCTGCAGTACCCTTGCATGTAGCTTTGTGTTTGTATAAAATCTGCCATGTCATCCAAACCAAATCCTATCTACTGATCTTTCAAACATAATTCATGCAAAACCCAATCTTCCTTTTAACTATATCAAGACTCTTCCAAACGAAGCCCAAGTTAATTGTTCAGTCCAAGTAGGCTAAAATATTTCACAGCCCAAACTCATTACTGCATGTCCTCAACCTAATACCCTCTCGGCCCAAACTTTCACACATCATCATTCATCAGGCTTTATGTTCTCGGCCCATATCACTGTGTCACTGTTCATCAAGCCCAATTGGAGCCCAAACCCGATTACCAAAATGGGTGTCAACAAAAATTTGAATTAGTTATATCTCTTTGCAATGTAGTATACAAAATTATATCTAAAGTCCTGACCAATAGACTGAAATTAGTTCCAACCAACATTGTAAGTGAGACTCAGGATTGCTAAAAGACTTACAATAGACAATATACTCATCACTCGTGAATTGTTGCATTTCATGAAGAACAGAGTTTTTCGGTGGCACTCAAATTGACTTTGAGCAATGCTTATGATAGGGTAGAACAAGGTATTTTGGTGGCTATGCTTAGAAAACTTGGCCTTAATACTCAATGGGTTTTTTGGTTAATGGCAATTCTTGTTGATTCTTTAAATATAAGGTTTTTCTGGTCTCAAAATACGCAGAGGAAGTCCACAATTTTTACACCTCTTTTTTGCTGATGACTCCATTATTTTTTGCAAGGCAGAGGTTGAGGAGGTTCAGAGGCTTAAGTGAATCCTTAAACAATGTGAAGATGCTTGAGGGCAACTTGTCAACCATTAGCATTCTTCTTTTCAAGAAATGCACCATTGGATGACAGCAGTTTAGGCAATTGGTTGGGGTGTCCAAAGGATGGAATGAAAGAGAGGTACTTGGGATTGCCTTCAATCATTAGGAAGTCAAAGAAGGATTTGTTTGGCTCTATTGCTCTCAACTACTGGTAATGAAGTCTTGTTGAAAGCAGTCCTTACAGCTATGCCCTCATAGCTATGTCATAAAGTGATACATTACTTTGACAAAAACCATGTCAAATATTACACTCCATTGTCAAATGTTTCAAGAAGTTTTGGTGGGGTCAGACAAATGAGGGCTCAAAATTGCACTGGATGAGTTGGAAGTCTCTATGTCACACAAAGGAAGAATGGGGTTTGGGGTTTAGAGCTCTAGAGGCTTACAATAAGGCACTTCCTGCAAAATATGGATGGAATTCTCAAGTAGAACAGCAAGGGTTATGTTACCAGCTTTTTAAAGAAATTTTTTCCAAAATCCTCTTTTATGCAGGCTAGGCCGAGGACCAATGCTTCTTGGGCATGAAAGAGCATCATATCAATCCAATCTTTTATGGTTTTAACGTGAATAAATGAAAGGATAGGTGGATCCCATGGGAAATTAATAACATTCAAATTACTGAGGCTGCCACTCATTTGCAGACTGCACTAATAGAACCAGGAAGGAAGAACTTTTAAAGCCTCATTTACAACCCTTGCAAATACTATCCTCAAAATTTCCCTAATCAGGTCCAGAACTCTAGATTCTCAGTCAACTTTGCCTATCACCTAGCTGCTGCTTCCATTAAGGCAGATCAAGTGATCCGGAACAAATGTGAATCAAGCTCCAACTCTGCTAATTGTCACGTTCTGATTCCTAACGACGCCATGAGCATAGAAGACACGCATCCTGGTTGGCTAAGAACATTCATTGACTGGGAATGGTTACAGGGAAGGGGCGTGCAGGACCACAAGATGGTACCTCTTCAGAGTTCAGACAGGTCGACTCGGTTCAGTTCGAGGTGCTTGTCGCTAGTTATGGACTTGACTATGAAGAAAGGAGTTGGCCATCTCTACACAAACTGGTCGGGAGCTGGAGCCGTTCCCCTGACGAGGCCAAAGCTGGCCGAAACCAGTCAGTATGTATCCTTGGGAGGGCAGGTCGTGGTGACTGACCAGGGCGCTTGCGCGAGCTGAAGCAACGCCTTGGTGCCACACGGGCCGTGCCGCTGCGCCAAATCTCCAGGCCCGTGACAAATGGTATCAAAGCAGGACTTGGGGTAAAGCACAGAGGTGTGCCCCCTTGTCGATCCAGGGGTCTTGAGAATGAAGTGGGTGCACTAAAGCGTCGGTGGGCAATCAATGTTGTTGGAGGAGAGCCTCCATCTCCCCATGGAAATGCGTCCTTTGAAGTCGGAGGGCCGCGCGCATCGGATGGCCGGAGGGCCGCGCACACCAAAGTTCTTGCAAGTTCAAGAGGCGTGCAAACCGTTGTGTAGGGCGGGTATCAAGTCAGCCGGAGGGCCCTTGTTTGCTCGGAGTGTCGCGGAGGCGGCATAACGTGGGGTTGCGTCCCGAAGAAGTGGGCGTCCCTTTAGCCCGAAACCCTATCATTGGGCGAGTGCAGCCAAGGGTTGTACAAGGAAGCGATGGTGGGCAGGCGAGCATACCACTTGGAGGAGAGAGACTTTGGGACGAAGCAACGCCTTGGTGCCGCATGGGCCGTGCCGCTGCACCAAATCTCTAGGCCCGTGACATAATGCTAAGTTGGGAAAAGCATTTTGACTTGTCATGCTAAAGAAAAGACTAGGCACTTTCTTAGGCTTGAGTTTAATTCTCTGTCTTGCTCATCTTTTGCATATTGGCGACTTTTCTTAACCCAGAAGTGGTGTAATTCTGGTGAGAAGGACAAGTTGTTGAGTCTTGCTGCTTTTATATGCTGGTATATATGGAAAGGCATGAATGCTTGTTTATATGAGGAGTTCTGGTCTACTACAACTTAGTCTATTTGGGTAGCAATATCTAATTTCCATGAGTTTTTGGAGGCTAAAGGGTGAATTACCAGGAAATGGTTGAAGCTTGTTTTGGGTTCAGTAGAGGAAGCTCTAAGCACTGGACTCCTCCCCATCTTGGTGTCATCAAAGGTAACCTTGATGCTCCCAATTATCAGGTTTCTGGAGAGGGGTTAATTTCTTGGATCCCGCTTGAAGTACAAAACCATACTGTTTGTGATTGTAATCCTGATTGAATTAATGAAAGTTTATTGTTTGCCAGAAAACAAAAAACAAAAAAATAAATAAAATAAAATAAAAAATATTTATATAATTCCCTATCCATCTATAATAGATTATTATATCAAATAAAGAAGCAAATATTTTATTGAGAATCTATAATTTGAGAATTTTTGGGAATTATAGCTAGAGCATAAATTCCCATATTAGCCAACACTGTCGACACAAGTTTTCAATCTTATCAGAAAATTCCATCATTTGAAAATTAGTGGGACTTATGGTGAGGGAGAAAGAGTACAAAATGATTACACAAGTTTTCAATCTTATGAAAAAAAACATACATTGAGAATTAGTGGGACCTGTAACAAGAGGGGAAGATTTCTATAAGATCCCATACATAACCTTCTAAAGTTTTCAATATTAGGAGAACAACAAAAGAAATGCTAAGAGTGAATAGAAAAGAACCATAATTTCTCTAATTCGTTAAGTTATGTAGCAAAGAAGATCAAATTAGAGCCTCCTGAGATGGGAGGTTAAACACTTAAATTGCTATGAAAGACACCTAAAGGTCAATGGATTAGGTGTTTGGGCTAGAACCCTTGATGTTCATGCTTGGACCCTTACTTTATAGAAACTTACGGTCATAGAGTTATATACAACATAAATAAATTACATAAATATCTTTTGACTTGTATTTAGGAGAACCTTTAATAACTCCAAAAACCCAAACACTAATCCGAAGGCCAAAAGGATTCGAATCATATTCTGTGGCATATAAAATTGAAACTAATTTGAGTACGGTACATGAGGAACAAGACAATCAAAAAGAAAACACCTTACTGTGAATAGTTCAAAGAAAAAGAAAAATATCACAAGGAGGTTAATTCAATGAAGATTCCAACTGATATTGCACAAGCACATTAACTCCACTACACACATGGATTTGAGTAAGGCTTATAAATCAATAATAAAACTGACTGAAGGATTGGAAGCTATACCTTACTATTTTGACTTGACATCTACCATCCTCAAACCTCCACTGCTTGCAACATCCTTGAGTAGGAAAAAGCTTGGACGGTAGGTGACTACATTAAATCCAAACGTATGTTTTCTTTTCGGTAATAAACCTTGAGCGCAGTAAAACTCCCTTTTTCGTGATTATAAGAAATTAGTAGAACATCATCACATGAAAACAAGATCTCTCCATTCCTCCATAGTGTAAGTGGGAAAATCTTAAGCACCCCCGGTGGAATTGAGCTTTAGTCCAAGATTCAGCTACTCCATAATCTTCCATGGACCATATATGAAGATAATCACAGGAATTATGATATATACAGAGACAATTTCTTAACACCCCCAATCTCATCGGAAGCCCATAGGTGTTTATGTTTCTTAACTCAGGAGGAATTGGGATAGGATGGACCTTCTCTTCATCAATATCAAACGAATAGATACTTGTAACCCTCACATCCATCCATTGAACAGCACCATTGAAAGTGACATCACACCACTCAATTCCGTATGTCGCGAACGGTGAATCCCCAACATTTCTCCATGTATCAGTTCCAAGAGTATAAACCTCAACGTCCGCGTAACTAAATCTTAAGACTTTATAGTGCCCTGTTGTGGGACTAAATCCAAATATGGCCACTGAAGATTCTTTTGCCTCTGTTTTGGGAAGTTCAACGCATTCTCCCAAAATGGGATTGCTTATGTATATAGCGTCTGTAAAGTAATCAACCAAACAAAACAAGCCATTACAAGAACCCAATAATATTAAATTTTGCTTTGGGGTGTTGTTATATTTGATTTTTAACCTAATTGGCCAGTGAGGTCGATGAACATTATTAGAGTCTTCTCCCAGCTCAAGCAAATAGACAGAACCTTCAACAGGAATCACAATATCATTGACCGATCTCGCAAGTCGAATTTTAGTAAAATAAGGGTCTCGCAAGATTGAGTGTTGCCAGGTTTTAGAAACGCACCTGCATCTCAAGAGAGTCCTGGTTGGAAGTCTCCAAAGAATATCGACAACGATGGAGGATGGAAGATCAACGACACAGCTTTGTTTTTCTTCTTCTTAGCAATTGCAATTGGTTGAAATGGTTGTCGGTACACTTGCAGTTCTGAGTCTTCTTCTGCGCCTTTCCATGGCTTGGGGTGAAAATTATTGTAGCAGTAGAGAAACCCTAAAACACAAAGCTCTGAAACGTTCTCTCCTGGGTAGAACTACCAATTTATTGTTACTACTGCTCTTCCCACATGTTTTCAAGTAGTAGATGCCAAAGCACGCCCTTTATATTCGTGAGAAAAACATTCTAAGAGCATCCCAGTGCGAGGGTTGCTTTACATGCCTGCGAGGGTTGCTTTACAGTCTACCCTTCGCAAAAAGTGTTGTGCCGCGTCAGCACAGACGTGGCTATATACTTGTTTCAAAGATTTTAAAGTTACACTTTATGATATACAATCACTTTTACTATTTTATATACACAATTACACCACAACACATTATCACTTTTCCATTTTATATACACAATACTGACCTTTTTGCATCTGGCAACGCTACTCAGTTCTACACATTTGGAGTAGCAAGTGGAGAATGTACAGTGGAGATTCAGTTCTACACATTTGGAGTAGCAAGTGGAGAATGTACAGTGGAGATTGCAAGTATACAATCCGCACAAGAGAGGCATTGGTTCGCTACAGGTCCGATATCATTTTTCTTATACAAATAGAGCATGCACCAGGATGCTCTAATGTTTACATTTTGTGCAAAACAATACCCTATCATTTATCTCGTGTATACAGAAAAATAAGCAAGGAACAAATTGAAATCACTATTACGATATAAAGTCCAAAAACGTCATTATTTTTTAAAATAATGCCTTTACGAGGAATGTTAATTGTAATTGCAAATGCCACTACCTTTAGACTGTCACAGTTTTGATTGGCTAAAAAAACAGGTATAATTAATACATTGCTCCTATTTTTATGAAGTATTAAAATCTAATTTTGTAAGGTGAAATTATCTTCTTTCTTGAATTTTATTGTGGGTGTGTGTTTGTGTATATATACTCTTTCTTTTTTCTTACTTTTTTTAATTGTCTTTTTAAACTGATTCATTTCTTCTCTTCTTTCTTTCTTTTTCTTTGTTTTTTTATTAACTGTCGCGGACCTTTGAATCAGATGGGTGCTCATGATCCGAAAGTTGAGGAGGAACATTTGTGCAGCCATAACTGTCGCGAACATTTCTCTCATTTCTCAGTCATCAAATTACAATAATCTTCTCTTTATCCTATTTTAGATTTTTTAAAAAAAAAAAGAAAAAAAAAAAAAGAAAGATAGCATTAACAATTATTCAAAAATATATTCTTTGCAAGCCCCCAATACTTATGCACCAGCAATTATTAAAAAACCCCTCGCAATATTTTTATTAATTTTCCATTAAAACATCTGTTCATTTACAAGTCGGTTGGATTTATAGAATGCTCTAGAAATCAAAAAATTGTGTGCTACGTAGTATTTTTTATTGTCTATTTAACAACAATGAATTCACCACCCAAATCCATTAACTTTTTACAAGACATTGATTTGCAGCAACACTCTTGCTATGTACAACAGCAATTAAAAAGCTATTCAACACCCAATCTTTCTTGATGATAGTAAAATGCATAAACCCAAAAACATACTAATTTCCAATCATTGAAATGTAACTATCTAATTAAACAAGCAATCAATCAACTTTTTTTAAAAGCAACACTTCACTGCAATGGGACCAACTATCAACGGTACTAAAAGAAACATAATATGCCAAAGATAACGATTATCAAAGCAATTATACATAACATGATAAATTCAAACCATCTCATGAATAAACAACAAAATCATAGAAACAAAACCATAAGAAGTGTATACAATGTATAAAATTTTGTTATTAAATTATATCAAATACAAAAATATAATTTTATATTCACAATGTAACTTTTTTATTTTTTTTAGTAATTCATCAAATGTTCTTGCGCGGTTCTATCTTTTCTCTCATTTTCTCTTTTAATAATGGAGGTGGCACCCACCTCCACATATTTCAATGGAGTTAATACACATTTTTCTTTTTTTATATGTATATATTTTGTACTCGTCCTTCATTTTCTTTTTAGAATTCAAATATGTCGATATTCCGTAGAAGTTAGGTGTAACACATTAGTATTGCTTTGCAAAAGTTTGTAGTATTTTACTGTATTTATTTGCTTTAAAAGTTATTCGTAACATGTTTGTTGGAAAAAGAGAATTGTATGGGCCTGTTTGGCAAGTGTTTTGTTTTGTTTTAGACTTGCTACAGTAACCTCTTTCAAGCCCAAAACATGTTTGGTTGGATTTGTTGTGTTTCAAACAGTTATAAAATATTTTAAAATTTGGGCCCAAAATATAAAACACCAAATTGGTGTTTTTTGTTGTTTTGGGCCTATTTGGGGAAACAATTACTATAGCGGGAGAAGCAAAAAATCATCATTTTACTGTAGCGGATACAACAATTGTTTGACGTATAAAACGAAAAAGTTGCAATAATCCTAGGGTTTGCGTTTGCTCGTTTGGTCTGACGATTCTGGGCGACTCTTGGCGACAGCGATTCCACTACTGTTTTCAGCCGATCTGTTCTACAATCTCTAACCAGGTGCATGCCTCTCTCTTGTTTTATCTTTTCCAAGCTTTTGACTCTTAATCGTATGATTGGCGTTGGAAGTATGGTCGTATATATCTGTATGTATATCTGTATGTATTGTGGGTTTTTGAAATCTGCCTATGTATGCTCTTTAATCGATGATCAAAATCTCTAACCAGAAGGAGAATCATTCGTCGCTCGAATACAATCCTTAGGTAGAATCCCTCCAATGGCTCAGGCCCAGATCCGAATTTAGCCGAGGAGAGGTCCCAAAAAATATCAATTTTACTAGAATCTGCTTCTAAACTTTTTTATCCTTTCTTCTTAGAGAACAACCAAGGTTTTATATCAACCTTACAGAGGCATTGATTGGTGTTATCATCAATCCCCACACTAAAGCCTTGACCCATCAAATTCTTACTCCATGACACTGTAATCAAGCGTCACCTGCCACGTAATCGACATTGATAGACACAAGAAACTAAATTTTGAGCAGTTCTACTGGTACTAGATGAGAAATGAGCAACTTGAACCCCACTTTCACCGAAACAAGAAGGAAAATCCTTCATTCTGACACCAAAAGAACTTGATTTCCCTTTTCTATTTCTGTATCTGGTTAATTCACAGACAGTTGGTGTTCACTTCTAGTCTTCTACAAACAATATGAATAGAGCTTAGATAATGAGAAAAGTAGGACAAACATAGAGAGTTAACAAGGGAAGAGCCACATACCTTAGTTAATCAGAGATAAACTCAAAGACCCATCTTAGAAATGCTTCAAAATCTGCCTGGCAAGACTTGATTTGGTCTCCACATTTAGTTTGAGATGCATATTTTGCACAAACAAATAAATCTAAGTTCAGCAAAGCATGAGGGTCCCTCCAAGTTAGAGACAAAATTGGGGAATGTAGATGGTGAAATATAATTTTAGAGAGAGAAAGAGACAAAAAGGAGAATACTCAGGCTAATTTCACTGTCAATGCCCTTAGCCAAAGACCAACTCTAAACACTTAAATAAATACGGATGTTTAAAAGCCCATAATTTAAAATTTATAAAAAAAAAATAAAAAAAAAAATAAAAAACTATACTGCTATTATTTAAATGCATATTGACGGATATATAATGCGAGAAGTTCATGTTTTACACACACCCTAAATTCCCAAAACTATGCCAGTGATGCCATCTAAGACTACAAATATGTAGATCGTATCTGTAAACTCTTTCTTGAAGGAATTTGAATTTGAGTAAACCCTTTTGCCTTTGTACGGGAATATGAGTTCTCTAGCATCACAGCTCAAAATTTTACCATTATACCAATCAATAGCCCAATGCTGATTTATGGATATGATTAAAAGATCAGGCCCCTCTCTCTCATTCTTATGAAAAGCGAAGCTCTGACTCTTCATCTTTCTATTTTATTTATGTACATAGTACAAAAAGTATATTAACACCCAAAGTCCCAGTTTAGCAAAAGCTAGTTGTTATCACATTTTGACTAATAAAATACTTGACACATGGGATCCATTATGACAATTCAAGTTCTTTTAGGGCGGAGTCAAAGTATTGAGTTAACCCTATTTAAACAACTTTGCGTTGGGTTTAATTATTGAGTTTTTGAAATATGGAAAGCTCTAAAAATAAAAGTTTCAGATCCTTCTCATAGTTATCTGGCTTCTTCCCAAATTGGGTCCATTAGTGTCTCTTTTTTTTTTTTTTTTTCTTTCCGCCTTCCCCTTTGATAGGTAATGAGGATTGAGACATGGTCACGGCTCCATGCAGATCTCTAATTTTAGTACTAGGCAATGAAACTATTTATCTGGTCCCTCTAAAACCTTGAAAGAATGGAACCACAATAGTACCCTTATTGGTATTTAAGTCAGATAATGCTACCACAATCGCATAATATAAAATAACTAAATTGTTGATATTTTATCCCCGGATATCAGAATAAAAATGAAAAATTCTGGCTAACTTTAACTAATCAGTTATCAAAAGGCCAAACTAGCCATCACTCTAAGAAGATAAGAAACCAAGTAAGAACTTAATTTATTATTATCCACTTTTAGTTAGTTAAGCTTCTCCTGAAAAGATCCATTCAACTTCTGTTCCTCTAAGAACAAAAATAGAATATCAGACCAGAAACTCAAGATGAGAATATGTATATGTCCACAACTAGATCATAAGAAATAGGAAATACCTTGTAATTTTAGCTGCACATTAGCCAGTTTGGTACACTCTTTCTCAAGTTCCATCCCCAATTGTTTTACTTTTAACTCATGAGATGCTTGATTGCTGCTAGAGATCTATTTTTCTCAAGTTCCATCCCCAATTGAATTACTTTTAACTCATGAGATGCTTGAACTTATAGGGCTTTGAGTTATTGAAGTAATAGTATGAGTTATTGAAGTAATATATATTATTTTTATTGTTATTAATTATAGTGTTGTTATTAATCTGTTAGATGGATATCAATGTTGAGAATGTGGAACAATGTGGTGAATATCTAACAATTGAAGACGAAGGGGGGACTGAAGTTACGAAAGATGGAAAAGTGGTATGGGATGACTCACTTACTGAAAAATTCTGTAATATTATGGAGGAACAAGTTAGAGCTGGCAATCGTACTGACACAACATTTAATCCAAAAGGTTGGACTACTATGGTAAAAGAAATGAAGGTTCAAACAGGGATAAAATTTGACAAAACCCAACTTCGGAATAAGTTTAACCAATTGAGGACAATTTATATCGAGTTTAAGAAATTGTTATTGGAAACTAGCGTGGGATATAACCATGAGACGGGCATGGTTATAGTTGAGGAAGAGAGATGGGGCAGGTTGAGTAAGGTTAGTAATTTAATTATTAGTCCTAAATAAATAATAAAATATCGTATATTATTTGTTATGAGGTTAATATTGTAACAAAATTTGTAGGTTATTAACGGTGCAAATAAGTTTCGTAGACATGGATATAAGCATTTTGACAAGATATCGACTATATTTGGGGACACATATGCAACAGGAATGCATGCCCACCCCTCCACTGCAGCACCCCCCGCAATCATTTTGCCCACTCCCAATGATGACGATGATGAGGAAGAGGGTTGTCACGTCAGTCCCCCACCTTTACGTAAAGGTAAGAAAGCCAAAAGAGATAGTTTATCTCCCAGCATGGCTGCACTCTTGTCAGGCATAGATGAGAATTCTGCGAGGAGAACTGAGAGAATGGAAGCTGCAATAGAGAAAGCAATTAAAGTATCTTCTACTTCTACTCGTGTATCTTCATGTGAGAAAGGAGATGATGAAGTTCTCTCTCCCTCTAAAAAGGATAGAGATGATGAAGTTCTCTCTCCCTTTAAAAAGGATAAAGATGATGAAATGTTTGAAGCCTGCATGCTCCTTTTACAAAAAATACCTGGAATTGAGATGGCCCAATTCGCTAAGGTATCGAAGTTGTTACATGATTCTGAGAAGTGGCAGAAATTTTTTCTCAGTTCTCCTGAGGAGATAAGAATTGGTTGGGCACTGAATGTTTGAGTCTTTCTTTATGGATGATTGTGTTTTGTTGTTTGTTTAACTTATTACTATCTCACATTTGGATGACTGTAATAACTAAATACTTTTATTTCTTGGATGACTGTACTGCTCTTATTTAAATGTTTTTCTTATTAACTTAAATATTTTATTTATTACTTAAATGTTAAGCTTATTAACTCAAATGCTTTGTTTATTATTTAAATGTTTTATTTATTATTTAATTGTTTTGCTTATTAACTTAAATGTTTTGCTTCTATTAAATCTTTAAATAGGGTAATGGATATGTGGAACCATATAAGAAGAATAATTCAATTTTATGACGATGAGGAGGACAATGAGAGTGTCTTAATATTTGCTACTCTTTTAGAAGAGCAGAACTTCTATCAAAAGAGGCGTTGTAGTGATTCCATTTTATAAGGGGAAACGTATGTTATGGAGATTTTAAACGGCCACAGAGAAAGATGTTATGAAAATTTTAGGATGTACCCTGAAGTTTTTAGAACATTGTATAGTACCCTAAAAGGTATAAGGCTGAAAGATTCTAAATTTTTAACTGTTTATGAACAAGTGGCAATCTTTTTGCTCACTTTATATCATAATCAAAAGAATCGTGCTGTAGCTGAGAGATTTCAACACTCTACTGAAACCATTTCCAGACACTTCCATGCTGTGTTACATGCAGTATGTCAGTTGGGCACCCATATCATTGCCCCTCCTGATTTTTCTATGATTCTGAATAAGATTAGAGAGTCTTCTAGGTTTTTCCCTTACTTCAAGAATTGTGTGGGAGCTATATATGGAACCCACATTCCTGCAACTCTGCCAGCAAGTACACAACTTCCATTTCGTGGTAGAAAGGGTTATACCACACAAAATGTAATGGCTGTATGTGACTTTGACATGAGGTTCACATATGTGCTAGCTGGGTGGGAAGGCTCTGCTAATGATTCGAGAATCCTAAAAGAGTGTATTGAGAATGAGGCAATGAACTTTCCAGCTTCACCAGCAGGTAATATTATTTTACAAATTCACTTAATATATGGTTAGTTTATCATACTGTATATATCTTTATGTATTCTAAACATGGCAGGTAAGTATTATTTGGTGGACTCAGGATATGCCAACAAGCCTGGTTATTTGGCCTCATTTCAAGGTCATACTTACCACTTTCAGGAATATCGTAGGACTAGACAACCTCGTGGTCGGGAGGAAGTGTTCAATCATAGGCATTTATCTTTGAGAAATATAATTGAGCGATGCTTTGGGTTGTTGAAGATGAGGTTTCGCTATTTTGAGGGCAATGCCTCCTTATAAGTTTTCAATACAAGTATTGATTGTAATGGCTTGTTGCACATTACACAATTTCATCAGAAATCAGCATCAGCCTGATGATTTATTTGATGGTAACGATCCTCCTCAAAGTGATGGGGAAGATGATGAGATTGTTGAGCATGTGCCTTCGGCTCAGCTTAGAGAAATGGATCAGTTGCGTAATACTATTGCTGATCGAATTTGGAATTCTCTTTAGCACTCTTGATCCTTCTGAAAGTGATGGTATATTTTTTCTTTTATATGTCATATATTTGTTGCTATTGTAAGCTTGTAATATATATATGTAATATAAATTATTTTTGCAGATATATAATTCAACTTAAATGCTATTATTGCAGATATGAAGTGTGTTGATGCTCCCTTAAAGGCCACATGTGCTGTTATGAAGATGATGTGTCGTTGCCATTGTCATCTACTTTATGAACTTCTTATCAATTTTTACTGACAACTATGTATTGTTAATGCTTTGTTCCAAACATTTTATGTACAACTTAAACTTGTTTAATTTGTTGGTTGAATATTTAAAGACTTGTAAATGGTATACACTTTATTTCAATTATGCTTTCAGTTGGGTTTGTTTTTATTTTAATGTTGTGGTGGACTATACAGGTAACAGGATAATAAAATTGAAGTAGGTTATTGTAAAGAACTTGTAAATAGGTTATTGCTAATTTTTTTTACAAATGTTGACTCTCATGTAGTATAGTAAAATGTGACTAGAAATATTTTTATTTTTAATGTTGTGTTGGACTATACAGGTATAATGATAATAAAATTGAAGTGGGTTATTGCAAACAACTGGTAAATAGGTTATTGAAAAAATTAATATATATATATGTGTGTGTGTTTGTGGGTTCAAATTTCTCCATATCTATTAAAAATATGATAACTATTTATAAATATACATAAAATTTATAAAAACAAATTAAAAACAAGGATAACCAAACATGTTTTTTTTGTTTCTATTTTATTTTTATTTTTACAACAGTTGGATTGACCAAACATGTTTTGTTTTCAAAAATTTTGAAACGTATGACTTACTAAACATGTTTTCCATGTTTTTGTTTTCGACATTTCCACATCAAAATATCTTTCCCAAACGAACTTTCGAATTTTTTCCAAAACACTCTTACAATAAAAACACTGTTTCTGTTTTAGCTAAAAACAAAACGCCAAAAACAAAGTGCATGCCAAACGGCCCTATGTTTGTATTTGATACAGAAAAATTTAGTAAAAAATTAAAAATAAAAAGATATTATAACTCTGAACTGGCTTCACTAGTTGAAACAGCAACAGGAAGAAGACTAGTTTCAGACATGGTTGCCACGTGGTCGTCTCAGTCACGTGACCAGAACGTGGAAGCCGCGCACTTTAGTCTTTTCACCTGAAACAATTCTTGCTACCGTTTTTGCTTTCCCGCCAAACAACACTACAATCCAAATTCCAATTTTGAATCAAACACCTCTCTCTCTTTCCGAAGTTTCAAAGTGCACATTAGCATATTAACTGTGCAACCAAACTTTCCTTTCCTCCGATCACCAATTCACCACCGGTATTCAATCCTCAAAACACACACACTCTCTCTCTCTCTCCGGCGCACGTTAGCATATCACACCGCAACAACACTTTCCTTTCCTTTGATCACTACCAGCATTCGATCCTCAAAACTTCAAATCTCTCTCTCTCTCTCTCACACACACACACATATGGCAGAGCCTATTGACTTCTCGAAAACACAGCGCATAGTCCTCCTCATAGACCTCAACCCACTCCTCCACCTCCAAAACCCTAGCCCATACATCACCTCCGTCCTCACCACTTCACGAATCCTACTCACATTCCCTTCTCTCTCTCCACCTCTCTCTTCGCCTTCAAGCTCTTCTTCTCTTCTCTCTCTCCTCTCCGCTCCTCCTCAGCCCTCCATCGCCTCATCCCCAAACCCTCCGCTTTGTCTCTCTCCTTCAACGACCCTCCCGAAACCCAAAATTCTCTAACCGCAATCCTCAATTCTGTCTCCATCTCCACAATTTCTCCCGAATTTGCAAGTTCAACGCCCCGTGCTTCGCATACGGCCAGCTCGTTGGTTCAGCTAGTGCACGATTATGCTTGGGAGTCCCAAATTGAAAACCCATCAGGTACATTGAATAACTTTCCGATTGTTCGATCGAATTTGATTATTTTGCTTTCTCCAATACCTAGATATTTGCAATGTTTATCTGAATTTATGAATTTGGATATAAACGATGAGGCCTTCAGGCAAATAGATGCATTTTCTAAGAGATTTGACTATGATTTTGCTGCTGTGAATGATGCTTATGTTGATAGAGATATTCATTTTAGCTGGATAGATATTAAGTATGAATTTGATTGCAAAGAAGAGAAGAATGAGGTAGATGAGTCTATATTGCAATTAGGGTTCTTTGAGAATGGGATTAGGAGGTTGGGTTGGGGCTTTTGTTCTACGGCCTCGATTGTTTTGGGTTCCGCTCTGATTCCTTTTGGATTGATTTATCCGAGGATTGGGCTTTCTTTTAATTTTCTGGATTCTAGTAATCTTCATAAGAAGATTCATGCACAATTGGGTCTTCAGATCTCTGATGTTAGTGGGCAGCCTTTGGAATGCAAGTGCTGTGATCTTGAATTGCTGAATATCAGCAAATCATCTGGGATTAGATATGATGATATTATGCATTCCTTGGAACTTAGAAATTCTGAAAGTGAAGGGTTTGATCAATTTGAAAATACTGGGGTCATTTTAGTGATGGAATTATTAAGCTGCGTGTGATGGGAGTGAAGAGGTATGATGAGGGTGACAAAACCAAATTGTGCTCACACAATCACATACTAGTGCGAGGAATGTTGGGAGAAACTGGGAAAAGCAGAAAGAAATGCTCCAGCCGTTTTTTTGCAGATATGGTTCTTGAATTACTATCTAGGGAAACAGGGGAGTTCATTCTGAGGGAAACCCCTATCTGGCAAATTCTGCTGAGTTTTCTCCACCGGGAAGGTTTATTGGCTCTGGTTTCCTTTTCAAATGGCAATGGAGATTCCTGCATGGGTATTCTAAAGCCTTTCACAGAATGTTTTGCTCTCCTCTCTATTATAGAGAATCAAAATGTGCATAGTTCTGTTGGTTTGAACTTTGCAAAGATAGGTGACGAGATTTGCAAACATCATGCTGATATGAACAACTTAGTTGAAACAGTTGATTCTCAACTTGGGGCTTCGTCATCCAGAAATAATATGTCACTGGGGGATGTTAAAAGGAAAAAGAATATGAATCATTTACAACAGGACCTCACATGGAGCTCCTTCCATAAGGCAGCATTTGAGTGCTCTGAGTTGGAATTGGAGAAGGTTTACTTTGCCAGAAAATCTAATAACTCAAAGAAATTGAAGTTCTTGAAATGTTGGATGAAACAGGTCAAGAAATCTAGCTATTATTGCCTAACCATACCAGATGGATCCAATTCACATCGGCATGTTACAAAGGAAATAGGTCAAAGAATAACCGGGACAAACCAAGAAAGTGAAAGACCTGTAACTTCAAATAATTATGTGGTGATGATTTTGCTTGATTTATTGCAATGTTTCCTTAATAAGCACAAGATATGAACTGCAGATTTTGCTCCGGATGGAGATACCAAGATCAGAGGTTTCACAGAGTATTGAAGAGCCCGTAAAAAAGAAGCTTTTGAAGCAAATTTGCTCACTTTTAGAAATCATTCAATATCTTCTGGAAGGAGGCTGTCATGGTCATGTGAGCCTCTATGATTATGTGGAAAGGACCGTAACAAGCAGGTACATGTTGCTGAGTAAATCCTTGCCTTTTTTGAGATTAGTATGCTACAGTACTTTGGGATTTTTGCCTTTTTACTTCTGAGTGAGTTAATGTAGTAAAGCATCTCTTATTTATATATATTTTTTATTGCTTAGAAACATCTTCGACTCATTAATAGCTTCACTAATTGATTCAATAATGGAAAAATTAACTAAAATGAGGCTGCTCTCACTAAGCTCGCGGCTGACGCAGTCTCTTGATCCGACGGCTATGAGGGTGCCGACTTGCTCTCTAATAATAAACAAATTTTTAAATAAAAAGTTAGTAGGGACAGTTACCAAATTTATGCAACTCTAGGCAACAGTAACAGCCTGTCAAGAGTTTGTTGCTAAGCCTGTGTATTGTTATTTAACAAATCCTTTGTCTTGATCTTTCTCAAATTTTCTTTCTTCCTTGTGCTTGAAATCACATTGATGTTCTTTCATGTGTATGCGATTACTGTTTCAATTGCACTGAGGTTCTTTTTACTAGATTTAAAATTCTTGTAGCTTTTTAGTGAAAAATTTAAAACATATACTCCGTAGTATACTTCATCACCATATTTTGATGGGTTTGAAACCTTTATTTATTATATTTTCCACAAGTGGCTGAGATACTTTGGAATCTTGTTTTGTTGGATGATACCATATTCATAGCTAGGTTCAGTAGTTACTAAGGCTGCATTTGCTGAAATGCACCGTTTTTGGTTTGTTAATTGAAGTCGTGCAGAGTGCATAATTGTCTTTTCACTTTTTCTGATGACATTTTAAAATAAAAACAAAACCTTGAAACACCCTTGGCGTGGGATGGTATGTGCAAACAAATCTTCTTGGCCATTTATCTCATACATTTTCATTATCACCTGAAGAGAAGAATGAAGAAAAGCTGGATCAGAAATGATTCTAGAAACTGAAGCTTCTATCATGCATTAAAAAATATTAATATATTTGTTCATAAGAAAGAGATTACTTTCACAAAGACTGGTCTATCTTCAGTTGTGCAGGTCTTACTAATTTCATAAGATGCAAATAATTTTATTATAGAGCACGCTTTTATTACAATTCTGATTTATTCTGTCATTGGTAAAGTTCTTCAGACAATCAGAGCCTAAATGAGGTTTACTTTCTAATCTATTCTTTTAAAATGACTATGAACTTTTTCTTTCTGTTTTTGTAAATTTGTGTGCAAGCGTCTCATTATTCCCTGAAGGGTAGAAAAGCAGTTCAAGTGAATAATGTCGGAATGCCTATATTTCCAGGTACTCCCATACTTCTGAAGATGTGATAGTAAGAATCCAAGCCCAAATGGGTTTGTTACCTTTTGGCAATGAGAATGACTCCCCGAATCTCCTACTCAACAGTGAGGACAGTAACCAA